AAAGCGATGCAGAACAGTGCCAGATCGGAGCAGAAGGAGGGCGATGGGAAGGACAAGAAGGACGAAGAGGAGGACATGAGCTTAGATTAAGTTATTTGCTGTCTTTTACGGGCGGGGCTCCTGGCTGTGTGGACGAGCAGTGTGTTTGTGGGCCGTCGCACACCCTCACACCTCTGTTCTAACTTGCTAATAAATAAAAGTTTTTTCTTTTATCTGCCAACTCTGGTGTTTCTGCGCCCCGTCCCTGTGACAAGCTGTCCCTTGGTCTGCGGTGTTGGGTATTGTGACTTTGAGGTGAAAGGCCTGGGGAGGTGGACCATGAGCCCCGCCCACCCCCCAGGCTCTCCCCACCTGTCCCGTGCTGTCCCTCTTTCTACATTTAAAAGTCAACACTCATAGGGCATGTGCGGGGGGTGGGAACCACGGGGAGAGGTCAGTGGGGGAAAGGAGACATGTAATACTTTAAACAAGAATGAGAAAACAGGTGTTAAAAAAAAAGTTGACACTCAGTTACATAAGCTCCTTTTTAATTTTTGTTTCAAGAGAAGGGACCAGTGATTTACAGATTTCTCAAATTGATGGAAGGAAAATCTCACAATTATAAATGATACAAAAAAACCCATTTTATTGTATTTTAAAGTTTCATTTAAAAAGTCAGACATAACTTAAACCATTTCCTGTAGACTCAAGTCTAGGTAAGTTTATACAAACTTCATCTAGGAGACTGGCGGAGGGTGGTGGTGTCAGCAAGCTGTTAGGACAGCAGGCGCCCTGAAGGTCCTCCTATGTGGCCGGGCAGCCACTGGCCCCCACCGCGCCCTGGACACCCGCAGAGCGCGGCAAGGTGACAAAGGCCCGGTTCACCATCAGATTCCTCATGCAGCCTTGGTAGAATGGAGGCCAAGGGTGTGTGGGGGTGGGGTGCCCAGCCTGTGTGTCCGAGGGTCCTGGGGTGCAGGGGAAGAGGAAGGGAGACAGGTTGGAGCAGATTCCCACCATGGAGGGTGGAGTGAGAGCAGGTGACCCTGGTGCCTGGTCCCCGAGGGGCAGCTCCCCCACCTAGGCTGAGGTCACACTCACCGGGCAGGCCCCCCAAGTGCAGAGGCACTGGGGTGCTGTCTGAGGCCCGCAGCATGGGACCCAGGGTCTGGTTGCTCTGGGAGTCCACCTCCAGCCGGAGGGCGGTCCTGCTTTTGGTCACTGTGGGACATAGGCTCCTTGTGGCTGGACTGGGAGGGCCTCTCGGCAGCCGCAGAGCGAGAGGGCCCACCTGGAGTTTGGCCTCTGCAGCTTCGTCCTCCCGAGTCCCTCCCAGGCTCTCTGCTCTGCAGAAGCAGGGCTGCGGGGTGTCGGGAGTATCTCTGGTTGTGGGACAGGGGGCCCAGCTCACCTGCCAGTTGGTGCCACTGCCCGTCACACAGCTCCTTGGAGAGTGTCACTGATGCGGAGAACTCGCCAGCACCATCGTCTGCCCACAGCAGGACCTGGGTGGGGGCTGGGCATCAGGAGGGCCCTGCCAACCCCAATTCTGCCCTTTGGCCATGGACCCCCCACCCCGACTTACCTGCTTCTCCAGCACCTGCAGCTCTAGGTAGGGGGGCACCTGGAACTGGCCCAGGTGGAAGATGAGGCCTGTGGCTGTCTGGGGCCGCACCTCCAGCCTCAGGCTCACGTCAGGAAGGGTGGTCCCCAGGGTGTCTGTGGGGAGGGCCTGTGAGGGGACGAGGGCCTGGCCATGGCTCCCTCAACCCCACAGCCCAGGGCACATGCAAGGAGTGGGGGACAGCAGACAGACCTAGAGTGATGGCTCCCCTACTGCCGGCAAAGAACAGACCCATCTCCAGGGGTTCTGACAAGCAGGGTGTGACCCCCACCATTCGGCTGGGGGTACTCAGGGGCTGCCCGTCCACCATCAGTCTCCTCACACAACCGCTGAACCAGGAGCTGCTGATAAACATCTGTGGGGGCACAGGTGGGTGGACATGGGGTCAGGTTCAGGGGGTGCTGAGGAGGGTGGGCTGGGCTGGGACCGGGCAGGGGATGCGGGGGAGAGGCAGTTCTCACTGGGAGCTTGGGGCCGTGGACAGGAAGACCCCCCACAAAGAGCGTGTAGGGCTGGGGGCCTTCTGCCCCCTGATACTGCTGGCCAGGCTCCTGGCCAGGCTGCTCCTGGCTCTGAGTCCAGACTCCGTCCACCTGCAGCTGGATCCGAGTCCTCTCCCATCGCACAGACACCTGGCGGTGGGAAGAGGCACATCAGGCGGGAGCCCCCAGGGCCCCGCCCACATCCCCTCTCTTCAGTCCCTCACCTTGTGCCACTGGTCAGCTTTTGAACGCTGGTGACTCAGGACGCGGAGCTCGGGCCCTGGGCCTTGTGTCTGAGCCACAAAGTATCTGTGGCTCAGGAAGAGCGCCAGGGAGGGGCTGCCCGCCGCCAGGGGCACGGCGAGGAGCAGGAGTCCTCTTCGGGTGCGAGGGCGGACCACCATGGAGAAGTGGGCCCTGGAAGCCAGCAGCCAGACGGTGTCAGCCTGGGCAGCCCTCACCCCCGCCCCCACCTGGCCCGGTCTTACCAGTTCTCAAAGGGTGCCAGGACGGCTGTGAACTCCAGATAACTGGACAGGGGACCTCCAAACTGGTAGGTGCCGTGGATGGTCCCAAGGGGCCGAGGAGGCGTGCAGGCGGAGTCCTGGGTGGGCTGCCGGGTGTGCCGGGAGACCTGTGGGGTCAGATGGGGATGCGGGGGTGCTGAAGGGCCATCTTCTGCCCACCCCCAGCTCCACCTGCCTCCTGCCCTTTACCCTCACCCCCTGCCCTTGTCTCTCCCCCAACGCCTGTGGTGCCCACCTTCTGAGCCACTGTGGCCTGTAGTCCTCGAGGTGCCTGCACTGGTGTCTGGGTGCCAGGGGCTGCTGGGGCACACCCTGAGCTCACGTTGATACCGCCCACGTTCTGCTGCAGGTCGAGCACACGCTGGGGCCCCATGAGCCTGTGAGGACAGCGAGGGCAGTCAGCAGCTGGAGGCACCCAAGCAGGTGGGGTCAGCACAGCCCCCGACACCGCTCAGCGCACCGTTGCACAAACACGTTGGTGATGCAGCCGCTGAAGTTACGGATGGTGTTGGACGCCCCCAAGCCTCCCAGGAGGAGCCGATGGGGCCCCTCAGGCTGTGGCTGTGGCTGGGGTCTGGGGGGCGGCCCCTGGTGGGGCTTCATCTGCTGAAGCTGGTCGTCCACGTAGAGCCAGACCCTGTGAGGAGAGCAGTGTTTCGCCACCCTGTCCACACACCTGCAGCAGCTGCACCCAAGACCCCGGCTCCGCTGCCGCCCCACCCTGTCCCCGGCTCACCCTGTGGTGTTGCTATAGAAAGCGACGTAATGGGGGGAACCATCAGCAAAGCCCCCTGGCGTCTTCACCTCGGTCGTCACAAACCGGAGTGTCACGTGGCCCTGCTGCAGGGACACCTCACATGGCCCAACCTGGGGACAGTGGTCAGGTCAGCGGACCAAGCCAGGGGCCCAGACTTCCTCCAGCCACGTGGGCCCCACACTCTGCTGCAGTTAGTTTCAGGGAGGGCTGGGCAGAGGTGAGACTCGGGGAGGGAGGGCTAGGTCAGGCTTGGGGAGCAGCAGGCGGTCAGACCAAGACTGGGTGGACACACCGGGGACGCTCTGTGGTACAGCAGACCGCTGTCCTGGGTGCTGCGGAAGCCGAAGCCGGAGTAGACGCTGCTGGTGAGGGGGGCCACATCTGGGAGCTCCAGGGGCAGGAAGCCATGGCCATGGAACGTCATGGCCCGTCCCACCTACAAGGAGTGGACTGTGAGGGCCCCAGCAAGCCTGCTGGAGAGGGGGCTGCTGGCTGGAGTGGGTGGGGGGCTCACCAGCAAGTCCGCGGTGCAGCCGGCACTGATGCCCGTGGTGTTCAGCCGCTTGAGATCCACATACTTGCCCAGAGCTTTGATGCCCTTGATGCAGCCACGCACGGAGCCTCCGGATGGGAAGAGCTGGCGCAGGCTGTCGGGCAAACAAGTATTGGGGCACTGGCCTTGGGGAGGGAAGGGGGGCTGGGTGTGGCTGAGACAGCGGGGGACCCTGCCTGCCCTGCGTGTGCTCACCTCGGGGGCAGCTGGTCCGGAGGCGCACCCCCCAAGTAGTAGGCGTTGGCCAGCTCCAGTACATTCTCCTGCTCCATACTGAACACAGTGGCCCTCTCCACGCGCACCAGCACGCGCTTGCGGCTGTCCCCCAACAGGAACACCTGGATCTGATGGCAGGTCAGGGATCCTTAGCACCTGCGGTGTTCCTGCTGCCAGCCCAGCCCCGCCTCGCCCTGCCCATCCTTCCCGCTTTAGCCTTACCGCCTTGCTGGCCACGGTCAGGGGCGGAGGGGGCTGTATTGGTTTGGCCTCCTGCAGGCCCTCACCAAAGTCATAGAGCAGCACGAGGCGGCCTTCCAGCACGGCCAGGCACAGGAACTGGCCCTGTGGGGCGGGTGGGTCAGCATGGGGCGGGCCCAGCAGGCAGGGGCGGGGCC